ATATTTATTATTAAGCCCGAAGATGTATTTCTTAATAACTTGATTTATTTCATGAAACTTTCATCAAAACTTTTTTGTAAACTTATCAGGAATGTACATAATAATAAGTTAAGTTACTTTTTGTTCACTTTATATATAAATTTCGACTTTATCATGTCAAATTTCTTAAATACGAGTTCATTAAAAAGATGTTTAGAAAACATGGCCATAGTATTTAAATTTATTACCTTCTATTTACATATTTATTTACTTCTATAATTTTCAGATGAGTTAAATTTTCTCTCTGGTAAAATGATCTTTTGAATATCTGAAATATCTTTTAGTTTGAAAATAAACAAAATAAAACGTAATTTAAAAATAAGGTGTATTGATGTACGTTTTAAATGGGACGGATAAAAGTTTTCAGGGTTGACGTCACGCCGCGCCGGAATGAATTTGGCTATCCTCTTTAGTTGATATAGTCATTGACTTTGGTTGACAATTCATTTGTCAGACTAATTCTCTTATTTGAAAGTTTAAAAACTTTTGGATAACCCCAGGGCTGGTATATCTAAGGGGGTCGCGACATAGACCCAGTAAATAGATGAGGGGGTGACTGAGGCTAGGGGGGAAATAGTAGTCAGCTTAAGTTGGCAACACTTTTCTGACGTTCGTTTGAACGAGCATCGAGCATAATAATGTCAATATGGTACAAGTGGAATGAACCACTGTTTTCCTCGTCGTAGTCCAATGTCGAATTAAAACTAAAAACATTTTGTACTTTTTTATATACCAAATTATGCAATTTGTTTCCATTTTATTTTAATGTTACATGAATAGGTACATGTGTTTGTGCTGCGGTAAATAAGTGTTCATGTGAAAATTATCTCTTAAACTACATTGTGATTGCACTCATCTCAAAACTGAATGCTGTAAATCCAGGATTTAAATCTTTCATAGTGTTGCTTGGGATAAATTGTAAAAAAGGTGTTGGACAAAACGTTTACAACCTAAAATTGCATGAAAAACATGATAGAAGAAGGAATTTTACCTTTATGACATTCTCTTTCAACATTTTTAAGTGACTTTGTGGTTTGGTGAATGGACTGTTACCACAGTCAAAAGATTCAAAGTAAAAAAAAAGTGACCAAGTTCTAATAAGAATACATAAGTTGAATATGAAAATGTAATTACTTGATTTAAATGTGATTTAATTAAGAGTTAAATAGAGGTTTCATATAAACAAAGTGCTGTAAAATGTTAGTAAATGCAAAACCATTATTAAAGAGGAATTAGTTATCATCAATAAGATATTTTGTAGTAGCTGGTCTCTATAAATAATAAACTTGAAAGACTGAATTAGTAGTCACTTTTACACTAGAAGTAAAAACAAAAAAAATGTGTGGTTGAGACTAATTTATGTATTTAATAAAAACATATTTAACATAAAAGCAGGTGTTATTTGAAATGTTTTATTTTAGTTTAATAATCTTTATAAATTGTGGGTACATTTGATCCGAATCTTGCAAATACTATAAAATGCATATGCTTTTATATGGTTAGTATTGGAGTAGAAGCACAAAAGTTTTGAATAAAAATATAGATACCGGAATACTTTGCTTGATTACTAAACTTTGGATGTTTTTGTTGTAGTCTGCTGTTAACACTATTGTCCTGAAATATTAAAAAAGCTAGACAAAGGTTTGTCCAACTCTTTTGTCAGCTTTGTTAATCTATGCTACTGTTATTCTGCATGCAGACATTTTTTACTGGAGATTTTCTCTAAGAACTGTATTCAGTTTCAAATTTCGGCCAGTTTTAGGAAAGTACCTCTGTTATAAAGGTATTTCAAATCCATCCTTTGTAAGATGTAGACAACAAATACATGCTAAAATGTATAGAAAACAAATGGCAAGATATTACACAAAATTATTTAAATTAACTAAAAACATACAAATGAAGTGAATAATACCTACCAACAATTTAAAAAGACCTAAAATAAATAGACTTAAGGGACTGGAGCTCTAAAAAAGGGAGCAATAATTTGTTATGCATTATCTATAAGAAAATTGTCTTCATCTCTTCAATTACCTTTTAAAATAAACAAAACTAAAACAGCACAAAATTAAAAGTGATCTACTTTTCCCGACGTATTTTATGTACATTTGAGATTAATAATTTATTAAATTGAAATATTTTATCCTAAAAAATATGGGCATTTTATAATGGAAATGTCATTTAAGAAATGACATTGATTTTTTTTCTTATATTGGTAAACCTGGCGACTACAAGTTGCCACGTTGCCAGATCAATGGCGACTACTATTTCGAAAAAAATGGCGTCCAAAATGGACTCCTATGTCGCGACCCCCTTAGATATACCAGCCCTGGGATAACCCAAAATAATTATTGTTTATTACTTTATAGATGAAGTAATATTAATATTAATAAGTACAATTTAACCAAAATGGATTAAAATATCGCTGGATGTGACTGGAAATTAAAAGTTAAGTTTTTTAGGAAAAACAACGAAATAAATTAATAAAAGTAGTGCTTTTTAAAGTGTTTGGAAATGTTACGCCAAAAATAAGATACTTTTGGGGTTTCCGGTGGTATATTTAAAAATTCTATTTTTCCTAATGCCTAAAATGTTAGTATAAAAAAATTAGATTATTAAGAAAAATATACCTATTCCCAATAATTACCTGTTCATGCGTGATATGAGCATTGTTTTAATATGTAGTCGATTCATAAAAGTACCTGATCGATTCTGTCAATTAATAATCTGGATTTTGTTATAAATTGAAATGTTTGGCAAGCTTGCTTATGCTTTACACGAAAATCGAAAAATCTTAGGTTAGAATCACCAAAATCACCAAAGTTTAAACTCAAATTTCTCTGTTATTTATGTGTAACCCGCATTTTTTTTGTTATTTTATACAGGGTGAGTCGGGAAGAGCGCACCAAACTCTAGGAGTATATTATACACGTGAAAATAATGTAAAAAAACTCATATGTTCTTATCCGATTTTCATTTGTTTTCAAGTTATGGCGTGATTAAAAATGTTTATCTAGCTTTCCACTTCTGAATTTTAACATTATCAAAGTATACCATATGTTCAAGGCTCAAAGGCATTTGATAATTCTGTCGTTTTGATGAACTGTCAGTGTACAGTGAACAGTAACTGAAGGTTTAATTTCGAATTTATGTGATTGTTAGAGGTCAATGGCGGTATTTTTGAACATTTATTGAAAGAACGCTATGATTAAGAGAATGTTTATGTGTAAATTTGTTTATTTGTTAATATGCTATAACTTGAAAACAAATGAAAATCGGATAAGAACATGAGTTTTTTTACATTATTTTCACGTGTATAATATACTCCTAGAGTTTGGTGCGCTCCTCCCGACTCACCCTGTATATACACTTAATACTATTTTTAAGTTCAACTTTTTTTTCGAAATTCATGTGTCCGTTACGTTTACAGGAACCCATAATGCACGATATAAGTAATTTGTTATTAAATTTAAATAGATTTGGACATTTTGACTTTTTTATTTGATTGATTGAAAATCAGAGAGATAAGAAAAACGCCTGCGTTAATAAACTTCTCAACTCACGCAAAATAAGTGGGATAAGAAGTTCTCCGATGTCATATTTGAATTCAGCGACCCAAAAAACCCCCGGGCGCCGAGTTTATCTCCTTCCCCGCGTGAATTTCGGGAGAGTCCCACGGAGATGACGTTCATCGGCGTTCCTGATCTCCAGGTCGGCTGTGGGTCAATTTGAACATCAAAATCGTGATCAGCGATCTCGAAAACCCCTGTGAACCCGATTTGGGCCAGTTCTTATTTACAAAGTTCTCAAATCTTCCATAAGCCGTCTCAAAAAATGCATTTTTTGAATAAGATTTGTATATAAAATAAAAAGTAGGGACTTTTTTCCAAAAAATTTTAGGAAACGAATGCAAAAAACCGAACTTTTTTGCTTCTTGCCTCGACTATGATTTCAAAAAGTAAAAAAATATATTTTGAATCATAATTATTTGTTGTTTAATTATTTAGCAAGAAACTAAAGAATGTTTGGTATAAAAATTATATTTAGATTCGCATGCTAAATTTGTTTGTTTTACCAAGATTATCTTGTTTCAAATATTCATTCGAATTCAAGTAATTCATTTTTTTTTAATAAATACACAAATTTTTAGGTATTTGTAAACTTTCTGAGACTAAATTCCTTTTAAACTAAAGATTTAGCAGAATAACAATATTGAAACTTTAAGAGACCGCCGTTATCTGAATTTAATTTTGAACTTACATGACTAATTTTGAACTCAAATTACTCAAAACGTTTGATGTTTCAAATGTGTAACAAGAGCAACGCATGTCCAAAAAACGCCTATTACCTGCAACCAACCTCTAAAAGTAGGTGTTCTTTTCGAAGAGACATCCATCAATTGTACTATCTGAATTCGAATCTTTCAGAATGATTATATTTATGTCAATATGCCATTACATTGTTGGATATACGTCTAGAAATCAGGATTTAAAAACATATTAAATAACAAAGGACTCGGATTGGAACCTTGTGGAACATGATAAATTAAAAGATAGTGAATATACTTGAAGCCGTTAAACTGAATATTTATTTATAACTGTAGTAGTCAATGTAGTTGACAGAATGAAAACTGGTACTTTAATTTGGCAGGCTTTACAAACGAATTGTTACAAATGCATTTTCGGAAGCAGGTGCGATAAACCTACGTCATATAGATATTGTGATTGCAATAATAAACGTGCTTGTTTCTCGGTCGCTAATGGACGTTCGGCCTTAGATAACCTCATTGGCTCGTTGCATCGTCGCGTAATATTCTGGGAACTTGCACCTGATCTCGTAAAATCTTTATGAGCCGTAAACACGGAAATGTGTAACCCAAATTATTCGGAATCGTTTAAAAATAAACTCTCGGGTCGCATCTGCGGGAGGTAACAACCGGAAAAACTATTTTCTGATTTCGGTATCGAGAATTTCTGTTAGAAAAATTATCATGAGTTAGCTCAGAAAGACGGAAATAGAGTCGGAACTGTACGGATCATCAGATCACTTGGCGAGAGAATAAGGTGATCACCAAATACCGATGCGTGTGGATTGTGTGCTGTAAAGGTAAGCGCACAGTTATACATATCGGACGGACTCATCGAAAATACGAAATTGGAGAATATAATAGAGAGTTGAAGTGATGCTATGAACGTAAACGTATACGTGAAAATTGACATCTACGTACATACGTAAGCTTGCGGGCTCTAGCATGTCCACGTAACGCAAATAAAATAACCTCTTTTTAATTGGGAAAACAGAAATCCTAATAATAATTGTCATTATCTGTCATGACTCGTAAATGTCACGATGCGTTTAACAACTTCAACTCATATTTTGGACTGACTATAGGTACTACTCACACGCTTCGGTCGTAACGTGATATCGTTGCGTGCGTATGTGTGAGTCAGTCATGTAAACGCGACTCACCGCTGTGTCTTTTCTTTTCATTTCGCATTGTTTTCTCACGGCTTGGTTTGGTAGCTAGCCAGTAGTGTTGTAAATATCCGTATCTTTTTAGTATTCGGATAATACGTATTCGGAACCAAGAGATATTGGGATTCATCATCCGGATACGTATCCATATTCCATATGTGAGAAGTCCTAATAATACGCAACCGTAAATACACCGCGACATGGGGAATCGGAACCGGGCAGTGTTGTCAACCCTAGCAGAATTTGTTTGAGAGTGAAGTAGCAGAAGCTTTTAATGTTTTGGAATAATAAACTCAAGAAAATCTCAAATATTTTGTTCTTATAATAATATCAGAAATAACATTTCTCATTCACTGAATATTATTTATATTTATACAACTTTGTTACCATTAATATGCTTAGTACATGCCGACTAATCGACTACGAATTGCAACAAGGCTAGTTAGGGCGATTCCGAATTCTGATTTCGCATCGGTTGCCACCCGCAAATCTCGGAATCGGCTCTGTTATGAACACAGTACATGCAAGTACATGAAGAATTCGATTCGTGTATTCGGATTTCAGATTTTGTTTCTGTCATTTTTGATTCCGAATCCGTATTCGAATTTACACATTGATTCCGGAATATCCGGATCCTTTTACTATTCGGATTCAACGGATTTTTGCATACGTATTCTTACATCACTACTAGCCAGTGCTAGTTTCGACTTGAGTGCGAACAGATTACAATTAATTTGTTGCGTCGCGATAATAAAAAATTCACGTAGGGACCTTGTGTTTTTTAATTAGTATTATTAAATCAGAATGAGTGGGCCACCTACTTCGAGTACAAAAAAAAGTAAGACTTACCATTATCACAGTGAGTGGGAAGAGGAATTTTTTTTCGTTATGGTCAAGGACAAATGTGTGTGTCTAATTTGCAACTCAAGTGTAGCATTACCGAAAAGAGCAAATGTTGAAAGGCATTTTAAAACTACACATTCCAAATACGCCACCGATTTTCCATTTGGCAGTGAAAACCGAAAGATAAAAGTACGTGAATTAAAAAGCAGCTTAAGTGCACAACAATCTTTTTTTACGAAACCAGACTCGAAATCAAAAGCTGCAACATTGGCGTCATTTGCTGTTACAGAAATATTGATAAAACGAAAGAAACCTTTCGAAGATGGAGAAATGATCAAGGAAGCCATGCAGAGAGCTGGAGAAGCACTTTTTAATGACTTTAAAAACAAAAAAGAAATTATTTCAGCATTAAATGACATTTCACTGTCACGAAACACAGTAATGCGACGCAGTGAAGCCTTAAGTGAAAATTTGGAACAATTACTTAATGAAGACTTGCAGAAATGTTGTTTCTTGTCACTACAGTTTGATGAATCCACCGATATAACCGACATTGCTGAATTGTGCGTTTTCGTGCGTCTAGTTTTTGAAGACATGACGACAAAAGAAGAGTTATTGACGATGATTCCATTGAAGGGGCAAACCAGAGGTGAAGATATCTACAGATCTTTTAAGAGTTTTGTAGAAAAAACTGAATTTCCGATTCACAAACTAGTTGCTATCACGACAGATGGAGCACCCGCTATGCTGGGACAAAAAGTTGGATTTGTTTCATTGTGCAAAAATGATGACAACATTCCAAGTTTCACCAACTATCATTGCATCATACACCAGCAAGTTCTGTGCTCTAAAATTCTCGAATCAGATGTTATTATGAAAATTGCTTTTAAAATAGTTAATCCTATTCGAGCCAGAAGTTTACAAAGGCGGCAATTTCGAGCTCTTCTTGAAGAGACTGAAAGACCTTTTGCTACATATAGATGTTAGGTGGCTTAGCCGTGGTGTCTTTTTGAAAAGATTTCGCCAATTACTGCCAGAAATCAAGACATTCATACTATCGAAAGGAGAAATTGTACCTGAGCTTGAAGATGAAAAATGGCTTATGAAGCTGGCGTTTCTTTGCGACATAACAGAAAAACTCAATGAGTTGAACCTGAATCTTCAAGGGAAAGACAGAACCGTCATTGACATGATAACATTGATTAATACTTTTAAAAGTCAAATTCAAGTGCAAGTATCTCAATTAAAACGAGGCGAACTAAAAAATTATAAAAACATGGAAGAAGAATGTACGCACAATTCAAATCGGGACTTTAAAACTTTTATGTAAACAGCTGGAGAATTTGCACCTGGAGTTCGAAAGAAGGTTCGCGGATTTTGCCGCTCTCGAAGAAGTGCTAAGTTTCATGGTATTCCCTTTTAATGAAAATATTGACATTGACAGCTTGACCGTTAAAATCGGCAACTTAACCGATGCTGAATCTGTTGTGGTCGAAGAAGAAATAATTAAAATGAGAAGCGACATATTTTTGAAAGCTAGAGCATCTGGTAGTACAGATTTTTGGAAACTGATTTGCAAAGAAAAGTTTCCATGCCTAAGAAAGGTAGCTTTATATTTGATTTCGTTTTTCGGTTCTACCTACCTTTGCGAATCAACATTTTCAACTATGAATGCAATAAAAACCAAAAATCGTTCCCGTTTAACAGACGCTCACTTAACTTCCTGTTTGCGCATCGCAGTTACTTCGTACACTCCCCAATATGATAAACTTGTGGAGAATATGCAGTGCCAAACATCCACCCAAAAACGTACAGCACAATGAAAGATGCGAATTTCGTATGTAATATTAATATAATATATAATATTTAATTAATAAATACTTACAAATTTATCACAAAAATGTTTTATTTCTCTCTTCTAAACCCTACCTTGCAGTCGACCGCAAGAAATATTTTTGAACACAAGTAGACCTAACAGGTCAAAAGTTTGGCCACCCCTGGACTATACCGTAGACATTATTTTTGTGCGTTGACGTTCACGTTTACGTTAACATACTGGAAACACTTGAACTCTCTAAAATTTTTCATTACTTTAAAGACGGCAACGCACACTTTAATAAAAGTCACAACTTTCAACGCATGAGTGGTCGATTTTTTTTTGTGATCCGACAAAGGATTCTTCTTCGACGATTTTTCGTTTAGGTACTTTGATTATCCAATCAACAGTTTGGTAACCTAATTGTACTTTTAAAAAATATTGCTATGCGTATATCAAAACAAAATTGACCTCATATCACACGAACATCTGTATAATACAAGGCGAACGGACAATATTCTTCTCCCTCGTAGTAAGAAAACAATTGGACAACGAAATTCAAATTATTTGGCCCCCAGAATCCTCATGCTATTATTAAATTATATGAAACAGATAACCAACTATGATGTTTTTGCAAGAGAAGTCAAGAAATGGATTTTACAGATAAACATTTTTAGTAATATGTTAAATAATTAAAATTGACCGTGATTGTTTACTTTTTTCGTTGCCTTTTATCCTGATATTTATCTTTTTTTATCTAAACTTATGCTTAAAAATTACCTAGATTTGTAAAAATTACCTTATTATGGCTAATACTTGGGTCGCAGAAGAGAATAAAATTATTCTGATTGCAAAGTCACAATACAAGTGGTTCTAAACCATTTCTGTGGATTACCATTGTTTATTGTTTGATGATTTTATTGTAATTTTTTCTTGTTTTTTTTTTTTTTTCAATAAATATTGTTACGCAGGTGTGATTTAATCTTCTATAGTCTACACAGAAACGAGTTGATCCGTCTTTCTTAGTTACTAGGACCACAGATAAGCACCAGGGACCAGAAGCTTCTTCAATAATATTCGAATCCACCATGTCCTGTATCATATTTGCTACGTCTTTTTGTTTAGCAAATGGGAGTCTTCTAGGTGCTTGTCGTATTGGTTTTACATCGCCTGTATAAATTCTATGCTGAACGAGACTGGTACGCTGGATTGCCAAGTTTTATCATTAGAAGTGACCATAGTGCCTTGCAGTGACTGATGAATTTTAAAAAACCTAAAGGGCAAGTTGCTAGATGGATAGAAAAACTGCAACAATACAACTTCGAGATAGTGCATCGAAGGGGACATCTCCATAGCAAAGCAGACATTCTTTCTAGACGACCGTGTTCAGAACGACAATGCCGGTACTGTAAAAGGCTTATATAACGAGAGGAGCTGGTTGAAGAAGTTAGTCTTCAGGCGACTACTATCAAGCCAGAGGATGACGAAGACGGAATCACCCTTGAAAGCCTAAGAAAGACTCAAAAGAAAGACAATGACTTGAAAGTTGTCCGAGAATGGCTCAAAAATGGAGTCAGACCTACATGGCAAAAGATAGCCAAATATAGTGGAACCATTAAAGGGTACTGGACTCAGTGGGATTCCCTGTATCTTCACGATGGCCTATTGCACCGGAAATGGGAGAGCCCCGATGCAGTACTTGTAGTCCGCCAAGTGATACTGCCAAAATCACAGGTCAGAAGTGTGTTGGAGGAGCTTCATAACAGCCCTTCAGGAGGACACTTTGGTACTAAAAGGAAACTTGGACGAATTCGGGAAAGATTTTATTGGGTCAATTGCCAACGGGATGTAGAAAATTGATGTAAGGAATATGACCTTTGTAATTGCAGAAAAGGGCCCAAAACAAGAAGTTGAGGTAAAATGAAACAGTACCTTCCCGGGAAGCCTTTTGAACGAATCGCTATAGATATCT